GCAGATAACACCATGGAAGTTTAGTACTTCTAAAAATGGTCACTGTCCAAAGAGAAACATCCAAATGGAAATGGACAGAGCAACTCTAGCTCTCCATTCAAAATAAATCCATTTATCAAGGGTGTTTTTCAAAGAGAATTTCTATTCCCTTACATCTTAGAATCATAAAATACTCCTTCTGATCTAAGATTCTAATACAATCTTCTACAGCCTTTCAAAGAAACACCAAAGAGATGAAGGGAAGAATAATTTTGGAGGCTTTTTTTTTTTTTTTTTTTTTTTTTTTTTAATGCCCCCTTTTAGACCGACAACAGTGACTGAAGGAATCACAGGAGAGCTCTGTAAAACCAGAATGGGAGCTGCTGTTCTGGAGTAAAGGACTACTTAAAATGGAAGGCCTGGGAAAAAAAAAAGTCATTTCTGTGATCTCAGGCAGCATAAATTATAGAGAGAAGACATTTGATGAGTTCTATGCTAAGGATTAATTTGCCATTTAAAAATGCAGGGAACAGATGGATCTCTTGGCTAGGACTATATTTGGGAATTACTTCATTTTGCTGCCCACATGCAAATAAAAATACAACTAAAAGTAGAACTTTTTGTGAGCTTTCACATGGGTAGAAAACACTGAAGTAATGAAAATAAAACCAAAAAGAAAATGTCTGCATGAAATAGGTAAAGTGCCACAGCACCTATTCTGGATGTGCAATAAGCTGGGGGAGAAAATATGATTTTACTTTGTTGAACAATTATGGAGAGTAATGCCAGGTTTAAAAAGTAAATTTCAGAGAAAAACAATCCCAAAACCAATCCAGCAAAACCTGTATCACATGACAGTGTTTGCCACTTAAGAGTAACTTCTGAGAAAGCACCTTGCTGTAACTTAATTCCAGGGAATTTGTTAGGATTTAGCGATTACACCTCCACACATGGTCAGAAGCCCAGGGATTCTCTTTCCCAAAAGCCCGGGCCAGTTCCATCGCACTTACCAGAAATAAGCACTGGTGAGAACTTAATTTGTGAGAAAAATGAGTAAACAGGGGAAAATCCAGAAGAAAATGCCTTACACCTCCCTGGACCGAGTGCCTCTACAGCCCTGGCCTCCATCCACCCTGCATGGCAGCGTCTGGGAAAGGAGGAGCAGCGCGAGGCAATTCTGCTGGCACAGTGGAGAGGTCGGACGGAAGAAAAGTCCTCTGAGGAATCCCCACAGGCAAAGCCTGTGCGCTTCCCTTATGAGAGCCAGTGCTTTCAAAGCCCCAAACCATGGCAGCCACACGTAAAATGTTAATTAAGCACCTTCCTTTCTTCCATATGATTTCTTCGAGTTCGAGGGAAACTGCATGTTAAAAAGCAAACCCAACATCCGACTCCTGAGACAGCTGTTAGATACCATCTCTGTTTCTCCTCTAGCAACACAATGAGCCTTTCCTCCCTCTCTCCAGCTCAAAAACAAAGAAACAAGCTGCAAATTTCACCCAGTAAAGCCCTGACCAGCGCAGGACCTCCTCGGCGTACTCCCAGACTCCGGAACAGGGATAAGCATGGCTCCGCGCGCGTTTAGAAAACGAAGAGGAACAGAAAATCTGTACTAACCCGACAGCTTCCTTTCTGTGACTATTCATCCTTCACAATCCAACAGGACACACCAGCCAGTAAACAAACATGGAAGGGAGGGACCAACTTCAAAGCAAGTGTGTAAATCTTACATAATTTGAGGGTTTGAGATCTTGCAGCAACCTCTTACCCAACCAGGTGTCAGATGATCCAAGGAGGTCAGACCTGTAGCAGCCATGGTAAGTAGGACACTCTGCATCTCACTCAGCCCAGCTCGGCACTGTTTGTCCACAGGGACCTGGGGCCGGGCATTCTTGGGAATTCACTTTCAGGAGGAGAACAGTGCCTTTCTTTCACATCTTATCACGCCAGAAAAGCTCTGCTCTCAAATGGATGAAAGATAATAGACGCGTGAATGCCCTTAGAGCCAAGATCTGCCGGAGATATGTCTTAATTATTCTTGATTTTTAAATTGTTTGATGAGGTTCTCGTATTTTTGCCCAGGTATAAAAACAATAATTTCTGGACATCTGCAGAGAACATCCCACAACCATGGAAGAAATGAAGCTACAGCACGGAAAACCACTTCCCTCTCATAGAAAGGATTCTCTAAGAGGTACCTTTCCTGCCATCCTGGATTTCTAAGTGTCTTCTAGCCAAAACCATTGCTTTGAGCTAAATAAAGCAACTGAGCACTGAAGTCCAGACGCTTCTCAAAGAGAAGGAATTAAAAGGCTCCACGTCTCGCTTCTCCAGACAGCAGAGTGCACTCAGGGCTGGAAGTACCAGGAAACAAAGGAACAGGTCCCCTACCTTTGTTATGGGCCTCTTGCCAGGAGGGATCACAGAGAAGTCCTGTTTCTTAATGCCAAAGCTATTTTTGCTCTCATATTAGGCACTTAATGAATAATTATGCAAAGACTTTATTCACATGGCATCAACACAGTGCATGTCTCCCTGCTCATCCTTTTGAAAACTCAGCTTCCCTTCAAGATTTAAACAAAATTTGGACCACATACCAAAACATATACATTTTTTTCTGCTCTACAGAACCCATCGAAGCCCTCACCTCTCGGCCGAGCCTGTGATTTTCCACTCAAGAGTCAGGCTGCCTTCTCCTCTCCGAGCGGCATTAGGAGCTGACTGCAAGGATCTGCAGTGGGATCCCTAATCTCCTGCTAAGAAGCTTTTGCACTTAAACCCCAGATGCCATCATTAGTGGTTTTGGCACTCGGGACGTCAGGGCCGGACTGCGCTTGATGCCGGGACGATGAGGGCAAAGCTAAGCACATCAGGTACATGGTTAATTCAATGGACAAAGATTAGGGTACGATACTATTTTTTATTTTCTCCCCAGTAAGGCTTATATACTATTAATTCCCATCCCTGTGACTTTATTTAAGTACAGCGTGTTCCTCCCGAGATTGTTTGTAAAGTTAACGCCCAAGACACATTGCTACGCCTCAAGGAGACCCGTTCTCCCAGCCCTTAGGTTTTACAGGGAAGGTTCTCCTTCTGCATCCACCCCTCTGGCAGAGCCAGAAACATCCTCTTTGGGAAAAAAACCCAAAACAAAACCAACAAATCACTGTATTTGCAAGTCCAAAGGGATGTGGTGTCTAGGTTTTAATTGGAACACCTATGGCTGAGCACAGGCAGCGGCTGGATTTTTTCTCTGATCACTGCAATGACTGGTATTTTTTCAATAAGTGTTCAATACAGCCTTCCTCTTCTGCTATTCATCCCTCCACGTGAATATTCATCAGAAATTATTGAACTGCCCTTTATTCCAAAGGTCTGTGTGACAGGGATGCTCTCCCCCAGCTGCGGTGCATGCATCTCCACCATCGCTGCAGATAAGCACTTCCAGACTACAATCCTCCAATCTATTTTAGCCATGATTCACATCCGAGCTGTGTGTGTCTCCCAAAGACAGGGGAATCTGGACCGCTCGTGCAGAGGGAGGCAGCCACCACAGCCCACGGCACCACACGTTTCCCTGTTTTCCTTGGCTTTCTCAGGGCTGGTTTCCCCTTGCTCTCCCAGTGTGCAGCAGGAAGAGAACACATTTCTCTTCCTGCCTCCAGGATCCCTCACACTAAGCCTGGCTTCTGAGCAGTAACACGGGCAGCCTCAACTTCCCTGACCTCAGCTAATTCTTTCCTTCCCTCAGCCTACTCAAGATGATTAAGCAAAATACTTGGAAGGAAATCAAAGCCTTAAAAATGCAATTAGAAGTGACCATTTTGTTAATACGCACATGCACAACCCCAAAGTCAAACCCAATCCAGCAGCACCTGACCTTTGGGAAAACAGCAATTTTTAGCAGCTCCCACGGACTTAAGGAACAGCCCAAAGTCTCCCACAATACTGGTGGGAGCAGTATTGTCCACACAGCTCATGTTTTTCCCACTATTCCTAAAAAAGGAGGTTAAGAAGATGTGAAATTGTGAATTCTCACACCAGATACCAGCTCCTACAGACCTACAGCTGCCCAGGGGTGACTTTAAAATATAATTTTTAACACACATCCTTCCACACACCCAGATCTTTCTCCCCCAGCTGAGGAAAAGGCAAGTTTACCAGAGGGTCTGGAATCAGCCGTCACAAATCCTAATCTTCTCTAGCAAGGATTCTGATCTCACTGCAGGAAACCTTTAAAGCATTGAAATAATAATAATCTCTTTAACAACAATCAAGTCGTTTGAAATCATCAAAATAGTTATCATAGTAATAAAACAGAAATATTTTTCTTGGGCAATTTCCATTTCACCCATCCACAACATGATACATTTTTAAGACTCCTTTCCTGAAATTAATTTGAAAAAAGATTTCTTTCTTCCTCTGCCTGTAAAGAAACAAATGCTCTTTGACAAAGCAGCAGTTGAGCTTCTGGGCCCTGACACAGAAACAAAGCCTGACAGCCCAGATTTAGATAAACACCTACTTCTGCACATTTAGGAAGAGGCTTAATTGCTTTGTCATTTAGAGCCAGCAATTACCAACTATTACTGGAAGTGCTGTGGTGGTGGGGGGTATTAATTGCAGCCAAATGTCCACTCTTTTTTGGGCAGCTCATGCCAAGAAAGTTAAGTACTAAATAAAAAAGAAATTTAAACCCCTCTTCGTTATAATGTTTTAAAGTATTTTATTTTCTATTCATATGTAAGGGGTGGGTTCTCCCAGAAGGGCCAACAAAGATAAAAATTCTATTTAATTTTGAAACTATGTCAAATCACGGCAAGGTGATATTTGGATGTTGGGGCAGGCTCCAAAATCGCCCTTTTGGGGTATTTTTGGGGCTGATTCCTCCAGCGAGGAAACTAGTGCTTAACTTCTAGAGTGAGCAGAGCATTTAAGGTTTAAAACAAATAAATAAACAACCTAAAATAGGTTGAGAGGGAGAGAGGGTGGTTCTCCCCCCTCAGAGCCAGCTCTGACACAGGCGCTACTTCATTTCTCTGCGCTGTCTGAGGGGGAAACCTTCACGCAGGAGCGAGAGCTGCTCCAGCGCCAAGGTGGGGGAGGGAGTCTATGTATTTTCTTTTTAATTTAAAAGGTTTTTTGTGGCAATGGCGATGTTTTTTCCGCGGGGCTCGGGCGGCCCCGCCCCGGGGGCGGCGCGGCAGCCCCGGCCGGCTCCCGCCGGCTCAGACCGGTTCTCAGCGCAAACAACCGCCCCCCGCTCGCCGGGGCAGCGCGGCGGCGAAACTCCCGCTTTCCTCCAGAAACACCCGCTTTCCCCTCACGGAACACCCGCTTTTCCCCTCAGGAACACCCGCGTTTCCCTCAGGAACACCCGCGTTTCCCTCAGGAACACCCGCTCTCCCCGCCCCCCAGAAACAGCCGGGTCAGGCGACTCCGCGGCCGCGCCGCCATTACAGCGGCGGGCGCGCTCCGCCGGCTGTGAGGCGAGAGAAAGCGGCGGGGTTTCGGAGCGAGATAAAAAAAAATCTTATTATGCAACGCACATTTTTAATAGATTACTGCCGGGTCCGGGGCTGAGGTAACGCGGGCTGTCAGCAGCTGGGGCGAGAGGCTGAGGGACAAGCGGGCTGCGGCCGCTCCCTGCCAAGGGCGCCGAGGCACCATTTCTTCACCATCCGTGAGGAGAACTTAAATATATCACGTTATTTTTTTCCACAGAAGGATCTGTTTATGTGGTTACACATGCACAGGTACGTCTTTTTCGGCATATCTCGAGCATAAAGGTTTGCTTTCTGTGTTACAATCTCTCCAAAGCCATCTGAAAACGTTCTGCCTCTGCTCAATCTCAAGAAACCCGATACAGTCCCAAGGGTAAAAAAAGCCACGTTTAAAGGATGGTCTCGGTTATATTTAGCTGAGCAGCAGCACCGGCTGACACGAGCAGAAACACAAGGAAGAACAAAGTGAAAACGCTCGACAGTTGTTAACAAAAACCTGCGAGTATCTGAGGTGGAGTTTTTTTCTAAATTTTCCTTTCCCTAATTTCACATTTTGCCGTGCAGAGAGAACATTAAAGCAGCACATGGGTTTATGTGAACAAAAGGTAAGGATGAGGTGTTTCACCTGACTGACAGGATTTACTCTTGCCTTTGTGTAATGGAAAAGGCCTCTTATTCTAAGAAATTCTTTAATTTTCTTTTATAATTCTTAAGCTAATTCTTTTCCCATACAAACACGAGCCTGCTCAATCCTGTTGTTCTACTAGAAGTGATTAAAATTTTTCAGTAATTTACAGTACCAAACGTACGTGGAATTATTTAACCTCGAGAAAAGCCATCTCACAGATACTTCAATAAAGACTAAACAGCTACATTTAACCTCATTGTTCCTGATTTTTCATCAGTCCTCAGCACAGGCATCTCCAAACCCCCTCAAATTCCCAAATCCCAGCTAAGTCAGTGATTCATCACTTCTGGCAGCAAACAACACAGGAAGGAGGAGATTAAGACAATGGTAGAGAAAGGTTTGCATTATGTAATGAAACTAAAACTCACTTTTTTCCACTTTCATTTCAGTTGTTGAAACAGGGTAGGAAAGTCCCTGACTAAATAAAATAACCAGGAGGTTTCAGGGAGCCTGTTTTTCCCATGATTAAAATTCTCTTGGCAGTGTTTTTCATCAGTTTATTTCAATATTAAGACACACACATATTCCATTCCAATGGTAATTCCTTGCTCCAGAAAGAATTTCATCACAGAAAAATCTAAAATTAAAACCAATCTCTAATTACCTTATGCCTTGCCCACTTGTCATGAGAACTTTAAATACAGTTATCAGAATTACAAAAAAAAATCCCTTTTCAAATATCTGTAAGAGAACTTCTTCCCATTTCTTTATTTCAGGAAGACTGGAATAACTGTGCTCACATATCTTGGTGAATATAAAACCAGTGTTGTATCTAAGCTGAAAATGCTCTTTTAATTTCCCAATATCTATTTCATATTACAAGCTATAGAGAAATAGTCATCTTAGTAATTATTCATCCAACTCCAGCATCCTGGAGATGAGACAACCAAATAAACACTCTTAAAAATAAATTAAAGGTGACTACATTACACATTATAGGAAATTATTCATTTAACTGGCAAATCCCGCAGCATCCTCCACATCAGACAACAGAATAAACATTCGTAAAAAATAAATTAAAGGCCAAAGGAAACGTCAGGTCGCTTATCTGCAGATGGAACACATGGGGTGTTCACGCTTTCACAGCCTGAACATCACCTACAGGAAATCAAACACTTCTGCCTGGGTTTTTGTAAACGAATTCAAACCCCATCCCAACAAGGATTTTAGGAGCAAAATGCTCCACTCTCAGTGCTGGGTGGTTCAGCACACTGCTGCAGCAAAGCTTTAAGAATAATCACTAACACATGGACAGCAAGAGACATTGTCAGGCCATTTGACGTTACAACACTGAATCAAAAAGCCCAGAAATTATTTTTAGCGCATTAGAGCACCTCAACAAGCAGCCTAGAAGAGAGCTTTTGCTACAAAAGAAAAAAAACCCTAAAAGCAGGGGGGATCTTTCCAAAAGGTTGGGTAGGGCACAAACAAAATCTTGTTTGCTTCCTATGGGATCACCCAGCTTCCATCCAGAGCCAGCTTCTTCCATGACACAGTACAAAAATATGTTTGCTAATGTATCATTTGTGGTGCATGTCTGAATCACCAGAACAGAGACAATGAAGCTTCTGGCGGTGGCAAATTACCATTTTCAAGGGCTTTTTTATACTTTCAAGGTGATAAAAAAAATTCCACCAACCCTTTTCCACTATATGGGTGGGGAATGAGCAATCTCACACTAAGAAGACTTCAAAACACAAATTCATCCTCAAATCCACGCAGGAACCATCCACATCCACGAGCTTCCTCAGCTCAGCAGGCAACTTCTGAGAGGCCACAAAACACCCCAAACAAAGCCTGGCTTCAGAGAATACTGGTTATTTTTAATGTGCTCTTTCCGGTTTTAGTTTCTAAATCACTCCCTTGCAGCACCATTACCTGAAAAGGCCTCCAAATAGCAATTTAAAGCAAAGTTTAGTGGAGACCCAACACAACAAACTGTGAACCTTTACGAGATAAAGGCTTTTTTGGGTTGTTTTTTAATTTTTAAGCAAGCAGTGTTTCTTCAGTATTGACCAGGAAAATCAGCTCCATTTAATCAGTGTTATTTACTTCACACAGGTCTTCAAAACCACAAGCAAGGAAACCCAAACTTCTCCTTCACCACCTTACTGCTTTTTCACAGCTTCTGAAGGACAGTACCCAGCACAAAGTTCCCATGAGTGCTGAACACCCACCGTGTGCCCCAAACACCCCCAGGGCAGGGAACACAGCTCTGCCAGCTGAGACCAACAGGACGAGACTCGAGTGACCACGTTCTTAAATTTCAGAAGAATGCAGTGTCATAAAGAACTTAATAATACCATGGCCCCTCAAAATTGGCCATTTCCACTTATAAAAAACCTGTAAGAGAATCTCCAGCTTGCTAAAATCCTCGAGACCACGGAAATTGCAGGAATAATTATTCTCCAGACAAAAGAAACTGGATGTATTACAGAGCAAGTGGGAGTACCGAACCACGGAAAAGGGGGTGAGGCAGCTTTTGCTCACCAACAGTGTATGAGGGGCTTAATATTTACATGGCTAAATTTCAACTGTGTTGAAAATTAAACACTTGTGCTTTGAAAGACTTCAAGGCCTGGTGGGGTTTTGCTTCCCAAAGTAAAGAGAGGGTTAAATGTTTATTATTATCTAACTGATTGCTAAGAAAAATGTAAAACTCTTTTCTGATCCTTCAAAATTAAATATACAATCCACCAGATTCCATTACTTGCTTGACTGAGTTTGATTTTATTGTATTAATAAGAAAAAAATGTTTTATTTCCTCCCAGAGTATAGTCTACTTTTCCATTACTACAACTAGAAATTGCCAAGAAAATGAAATGCTCAAGCACAGCAGATGCTGCTTTTCTTCTCATTAAATCTTAAAACTTGGTTCCAGTGGGATCATATTTTAGTCCTCTCAAATTCAGAACAGGATTTCATCCTGCCTCGACATCCCAACAATGACATTTTATAAATATTACGAGTTTCTTGGACGCCTTTCTCATTCCACAAGGAGCAGAGGAGCACCAGTAGAGATTTCTTCTTCTTCCCCTGCTCAAGATTTTTTTTATTAAAACTTAAATGTAACCAGCCCTCCTTTCAATCTATTTTCTCTATGATTTTTTTGAGACCTCTGGAAATCTCACAGCTTTTTCTGGGCTGTAATAACTGTGAAAAATCTTTGACAAAGGATTGTCTTTATTCAAGCATTAAACTCTCGTTGAGAGAGATGCTGGAAATAAACAAGTGCTTAAAAGCAACCTAAAAGTTGTCTTAAATCTTCACCTGCTCTCTAACCGAGACAGGATCTGGATTTCTAAATCCAAGAAGAGAAAACAGTAATTAAAATAAGTAAATAAACCCTTGCATGATTCTTTAGACATGAGGGGGTGGGGCAATCAGAAGAGGAGACACTGATTTCCTCATCTTCCGTACACTCTCCGTGGGTGTCAGCCCAGCTCACCCTTCCAGAAGGTTCAACATTCAAGGTAAGACTTTGTGAGAGTAATTCTCTTGGTCACAGAGTTCTGACAGTGGTAAAATTCTATTCACAGTGATAAAACACAGGATCCTAGAACGGGCTGGGAGGGACCTTAAAGTTCACCTAATTCCACCCCTGCCAATAATCCCATGGGCAGGGACACCTCCCACTGTCCCAGGCTGCTCCAAGCCCTGTCCAGCCTGGCCTTGGACACCTCCAGGGCTCCAGGGGCAGCCACAGCTGCTCTGGGCACCTGTGCCAGGGCCTGCCCACCTCACAGGGAGGAATGCCTTCCCCATATCCCATCTAACCTGGCCCTCTGGCAGTGGAAGCCATTCCCCCTTGTCCTGTCACTCCAGGCCTTTGCGAAATCGAACACTCTACTGGTTCACTTATTTACTTAATGAATATTTTCAGTTTTAGAAAAGACCTGGTATGCAAAGGAAACGCTGCCAACTCTGCAAACCCTCCGGAAGAGCAGAGCTCTTGGCCAAAGAGCATAAAACATTTATGGGTGCAACCATAGCTTTGTGGCTTCCACTCTTAGAGTGAATTTAATCTTAAAGAGCCAAATATCAGAGAGGCACTTCAATATGAATTTAAAAACTGTTAAAAGAAATCAGTCATTTTCTAACACCTTCTTTTCTCTCCCACAGATATTTTGTAAAGCATGCAAATACAGAGCTATTGCAGAACCAAGGACTCACATCCCCAGGAATTGCAAACTTGGATTATTTTTTTTTAATTCTTCCAAGTCTGCAAATTTTGCTGTGAGGCAGCAGGGCGAGAAATGGGAAGGCGACAAATCATCCTCATGAATGTCAGAAACAATACCACTCATCATTTCCCAAACTATGTTGAAGTGTGGTCTGTAAAAAGCAGCTGACCTTAAAATTTGCTTGAAGCAAATAAAAGTAACCCTGTTCACCAGGCACACAGGAAGGAGGCCTTGTGTCTGTACATCCCTGCTCTGCCCAGCCACCATCTTACAGATGGACCCACCATGGAAAATGACAAACAACAGCACCAGCGTTCCCCTTGGAGCCAGCTGAGCCTTTTGACATTTCACTGCAGATCACTTCTCAACGACCAAAGCTTTGCCACAGAACAACTCCTCGGGCTCACACCTCGGGGAACGACCCGCACAGCCCACGGCACAGAGACCCACGGCACAGAGACCCACGGCACAGAGACCCACGGCACAGAGACCCACGGCACAGAGACCTACCTGTCGCTGCTGGTACTGCTGCTGCTGCTGAGGGAGTCGCTGCTGGAGGATCTGCTCCGGGAGCCGCTGCCGCTGGGGGAGCGGGCGGGCCGGGCGGCCTGGCTGGCCAGGCGCTGCGGGGACTGCGTCCTGGACTGCGACGAGTGCGGCGAGCGGCTCCGGCTGTGCTGGTAGTTCCGCTCCGGCCTTCTGCCTCGTACCTCCCGTGTAATGTCATCCCTGTAGATATCCCTGTGTACCACACTGGGCAATGTAAACTGCTCCCGGGCCCTAGGTTCGTATCGGGGGTCGTGAGCGTCAAAGCGGTTTGGACTTCGGCTCCGAGAAGTGTAATAGAGCCCGTGTTGTAAGGTCCGCTCCCGAGGGTCTCTATAGTAATCCTGATCGTAATGTCTCGTCCGATCAAATCCGCCCGTCCCCCGCTCATGGTGTCCATAGGCACTATGTTCATAAGCACGCTCCCTGTTATCTGAAGCCCTGCATTTGGGAAGGGGGAAAAATATCGCATCAGAAAGGGGCAGGCACAACTAAAAGCAAATCATGCAAACATTCATGGCAGCACTCGACTTATTGTAGCGACTGCTTCTCCACTAACCAGCAATAACCTATCAAGCAAACAATGACAAACTTCAAAACATTTTACTTGACTCCAAAATTATAATTGTATAGGATCAAGCTGAGCAATCATTTTGGTTTAATCACAATATGGGGCTTTCATGACCAGCAACTTGCCTGCACAGGAAAAAATTTTCTGCTTTCCCATGCAGAATCCTCATTTCAATTGTTCTTTTTCTTTTAAATTTTGTAAACAAGAAAAACTTCATGTTTGTGGACATCATCATTAACTTCTTCCTTTTCTCTCCAGTTTTGCTTAAGAGCTTAAGAATTTTTTTTTTCAAATTTTGATAATTACTGGAGCTCTTGTAATTATCCTTCTGCAAAAATGGCATCACAAATTGGGCTGTAGCCATGAAAGCCTCCATGCAAAGCATGACCCAGAGGTAAGAAGCTGCTTTCAAAAGGGGTGGCATAACCCATAGACGTTTCCCAGAAAATTAGGGGGTTTCTTGTTGCTGCTCTAAAATATTTCACCCTCTTAGAGGGAATTTTTGCTTTGACTAGATTAATTTCTCTACAATCATTTCTTGTAAAAGTTGTGGATGCTAAATAAACATCTCCATTACTAATGCTGGAACTGCAAGGATGCAGGTCCCCAGAACATACTAAGTTCCCTACACAAGGACTGGGAATCCAATTTTTAGGCAGTGTTTTTGTTACGACTGCTGCAATCACAGAATTTCTATCTGCACAAGCTGCTGCTTTCCAGCAGCTACAGTCCAGTTCATTTCAGTGTTTTAAACATTTTAAATGGAGAAAGGCTCAGTGATGTTCTGAGTTAGTGTGATCTCTCAAATAAAGAGATTGACATATAAAGGAACACTACAAATAGGTTGAGTATTCCAATTTAGACAAGTACCAGGATGGTACATCTTGGTTACATCCACAAAATGGAAAATCCAGAATGGTTACTTTGAACATTAAAAAAATACTTCTAAAATTCTAAATATGTCAGGGTAGCCAAAATTAATTTAAAAATTAATTATCCATCTTACAAGGACATTTCAACCTTTTTTTTCAGCCTTCTCTATCATATTCTTCCTTTAGAATCTGTTATGAGTCACTTCAGTCGCCTGCATCCTGATAACCCAATTCTGCCTTGTGCCTCCTCCTCCTTTCCTGCATCACAGCTCTAGTTCAAATGGCAGAAATATTTCAGGGATCTTTTATAAACTGAAAATGGATTTCAATATTTTTTCAATTAGCATCTCAGGAAGTTCCTTCCATTCCTTCTCCAATGAATCACTAGATCCTTAATCTTCTCAATATATTCACTCTCTGTTGTTAAATTGTAACTCACATGAAGCTTTCTATAGGGCTCCCTCAGATCTTGCCTGCTTTTTTTTCTCTCAAATGATATATAAAAAACTACTTAACAAGTGCAAGAGAATGTCATTATCTTCTACATCTGCTTGAAATTCATTGTTGCATTTCTATTTCCATTACCTCTTGCTCGCAACAATGAAATTTTGAAAGCCATTTCAGCATCTGGCACAGAAACGTGTCTCTGTTTTGGTTCTTTTTTTCCCCCTTTTGAAGGACCAAGATCAATAATTTTACAAACTATTGCATTTAGCATCCTACAAAGTGTTAATCAGTGAGAGCCGATTTAATGAGGTCAGAGAAAAAGCAGTATTTTCTAGCAGGTTACTGCTACAGAGCTGACAGAAAGAACAAATCCTTATCCATGAGAAGGACACAAAAGACAGACAGAGGAAGCAGAGCTGAACAGCTACTGGCTACAGTGCTTTCTTCATTTGTCTATTAGTACTAAGTGCTACTGGAGTTAGTGGAAAGAGAGGGTTTGACTTGGGTTAGGAGAGGGGCTAATATACACAGGGCAGGACATACCAACCTTTTCCAAGTGTGGAAACACGACCTATATTCCCAATTAAATCTAGGGAGAGAATTGTGAACATAACTTCCCCAATTTTGGCCCCTCTTACAGGGGTAATCCACCTTCTTAATGGGCAAGGGTGTCAAATGATATTTTAGATGAACCAACAAGAAAAAAAAAATCTTAGTGACAAGACACAAAAAAAAAATTCCACTGGACGGAAGTAGTCCCAGACTGAAACCGTAACTCTGAAACCCCCAGACTTCTTTCTTGAGACAGAAGGCACTTAAATAGATCCATAATTTTAATTTCCAGCCCTAAGTCTGAATCAAGCAGCTGGCAGAAGATCCCCCGAGGCCCGAGGGCCCTCACGCTGCTGCCAGCAGGCATCCTCTGGCCGCCTTGGTAACCATCCAGCCCAGTCACTTCTCACTGGTGTATCCACAAACGGGTATTAGCACCACGTCCTTAAAGCTAAAGTATGTTTAATGTGGAGCAGCAGAGCTTTTTAAGAGACTAGATAGTAATCCACTCCCCATGGCTACTGGCGTCTTGACTGTATACCATCCAATAAATTCAAGGCAGTAGTTCTTATCCCAGCTTTAAAAAAAAATAAACTATAATTTCCAAAATTTAGTAATGTCCGTCATCTCTTTTTGCCAATACCATCAGAAAGAATAATCCCAATAACTTGGAAATGATGTAGATCCAAAATGGAACCATCACAAGCTGCCTTCGGTCTTCTCCATCCAAGCGTTATTTCCATGGCTAAGAGTTGTCGGTAGTATCCAAGGGGCTGCATCATTAAAGTCTACTCTGAATTTTGTGGTGACAATCCAATTAACATACCCGCTGCGTATAGTGAGAACTGGGAGCTAGGCATCAAGCTTTCACCGAATTCTAGGTTCTAGTATTCCGAAGATACTCCACAGAGAACTTCACCACATGTTGTAGAGTAAGATAGCTCCATCTGGCAGCAGGGATACATCCAGCAAGGCCTTAATATTATCCAAGAAATGGGATCGCTACTTCTAGAAAAGAGTAACTCCAATATCGGTGCTGGCCAAAGGAAATCTTCCATCTTAAAACCACCTTATTTCAAGTGTAGGTAAATATCCAACCAGCTGCAGGACACATCCTCTATGGATCCACAAGGTACCAGCCACTGGGATAGAAATCACTTCCGTTTCCAACCCAAAATAGGAAACATAGATAATTCCCAAAATTTTAAATCCATCTGGGGGCCCTAGATAGGAGTTTGTGTTTCTCACCATATCAAATACAAAATACCTGCCTAGAGAAACCTTGGAACTTACCCATCAAGTCTTCGCTCATAACGTCCTTCCCGTGCATGAAGTGATGGTGGGGGGCCATAAGTGGGCCCCCCACCACCTCCTCTGAACCCAGAAACCTCTCTACTACGAGATGCTATGGAAACTGTATCATCCAATCCCCGCGCAGCACTGGGAATGGTTCCTGGCTCATTATAATCCGTCCGTAGGTCTCTATCTCCCATTTTGTTGACAGAGTTGTGTGCCTTCTGGGCACTTTTGATGTCCACAAAATCCACAAATGCTGCCACTCCGCCTTCCGACCCCCTCTTAGGGAGGATTTTGACACTTTCGACACGTCCATATCTGGAAGAGAAGCAAAGCAGAGCACACATGTTAGTGCTGGTGGGAAAAGACCATGTTTAATAACATTGCCTGCTGCAAAATCAACACCCAACCCTTCACCCTTCCCCTGTGCCAGGAAAATCAATCATTGGGAGACACCAAGAGGGAAAAAAGCCATTTAAACTTTCCATGGTTACATATAAACTCCTTTCTGGAAGTGTGGGGAGCCTAGTATGGGATCACCCTTTTTATAGCAACAGAGCAGCAGCAGCTGAAGAAATAGAAAGGTGTTCACAACCAGAGCACCCTGCACATCATTAGTCTGACACAATTAAAGAGGCACAATTAAAACAAAACTGTGTCACAAGTTAAAAAACAGACAACCAACCAACAATTTTCTTAGGAGACAAATGACCTTGACACAGCAATTCCACTACTTCGATCTGTATTTAACCTGGAGTGATCCTCACTCCTGATCCCAAACTCATTTATTTCCACACCCAGCACGACACACGGACCCCCAGACCCAGGTACTGCTGGGGTTCAGCCTCCCACCCCCACTGCAGACCCAGCTGCCCAACAGGAGCTGAGAAATGCTGGAGGGAATGTGACACCACCCTACGTAATGTATGTTAAGTAACTGCAACACTGGCACTTATGGATGAGTAAATGTCTATGCAAAATAAAAATAAACCCAAACATGTTTGTGTACACAAGGAAACAAGATGTAAAAACGTATTTAAATAAGTTGCATCCACTCACAGTAGAAAGGACAAGCTGGGTGGGATGAACACAGTGACTTTTTAACAGCCAACAACTGCAGGGTTTGGGTGCTTAGTTCTCTCTGCCAAAAGATTCTGAGCAAACCAGGGAAAAGCTTTGAACTACAGTTGGTAATCCAGGACAAGAAAAGGCAAAAAGTGTATTTCTGAATGTGCCGACATAGAGGAAAGGGATGCACAAATAAAA